TTTCCTGTTTCTCTCCTCACAGAGGCAGCACTGTGTTGCATGGCTCCAGAGAGCACCATTCTCCTTGTGTTCCATGCAACATGCCCACGAGTTATGCATTGGGACACCTGGCTGTAAATCATCGCCAACCCTGTGAATGAAGCAACACCCCAGGGAGGGTGGAGAAGTACAGAGGAAGGAGCCAGGGCCCCGATGAAACAAACATTTCTTCCAGAAATTTCCCAAGCCCAGACCATTGCATGAAAAGAGAAATAAAATACTCTTTTGTTTCCATCACATTGTTTTTGGTCTCAGTTGGAGCAGCCGACCCTATATTGCAACAATTAGACTCAATCACCCTCATTATTAGGAAAGTCAGCTCTGCAGCAATTCTTCCCTTAAACACCACAGGGTGTTTTGGGCGTTAAAGGAAAAACCTGAGAAAAACCTTACATTTAGAAAAACTAAATGTAACAGAATGTAATTGAGTGAAAAATGGTTCTTGAATTGGGCAATCCCCAAAACAGGATAGGTTCAGGGAGGCTTCCAGGCTACCGCGTGGTCGAGGATGATTTATGGGTAGAAAAAAAGAGAGTGACATATAGAAAATGGAGGTAAGGTACAGAAACAGCTGGATGGGTTCTAGCTTGGCATTTGACTTGTTTGAACATGGTTTGAACAGTTGGCCGTCTTTGATTGGCTGAAACCCAGAGATTGGTACTAGAGTTGGTTATAGCCTGTTAACACATCCAGTTAGGTGATAGTTCACTATGTAGGAAGAAACATTTAAACTAAACTGAATTTAACATGGGTAAGACGAGGCCTTTTGTTAAAGGGCCATGAGGTTGAAGGCAACTTTCACCTCCAGAGCCCCTGCCTTCTGTGCCTGGATGCCCAGAGGGTCATCAGCCTGTGACGTCACATAGGATATCATCCATCCTCCTCTGAGAACCCTAGCAGGGTAAAGATATGGCAAAACCCAGACTGCTGTATTCATCACTGTATACCTAGAGTCCATCACTGTACTAGCACACAGTAGGGCTCAGAGGTGCTGCTTGCTCAGTAAAGGACTGAATGAACACATTGATGGCTATAGCCAGTGAGTGATGCACCAGGCGGGTGCTCGCGTTCCTCCATGCTTTGGCTCCATCCAACCTATCTGCTTCCTCTACAACGTCTTCTTCCTGTGTGGACCAACAGCAGCAACAGCACCTGGGGACTTGTTAGAATGCAAACTCACAGGCTGCTCTCCAGACTGCCCAAGTTGGGAGCTCTGGTGCTGGCACAGGGTGCAGTAGTCTATGTTTTAATGCACCCACCAGGTGATTCCAATGCTCACTTGAGTTTGAGAGCTACTGCTCCCCATGACTGTTTCACAAATTGCACAGCACAGCCATTTCTTTGTTGTTCCCTCTGCCTGGGATGCCTTTCTCCATATCTCTGCCGGTAGCAGCCTCACTCATGTTTGGGGGACTCTGAACATACCATCTCCTCCAGAAAGTATCCCCAGAGCCCCACAATCTGGAGGAATAACTCCCTGGGGATACTCAGAGGCTGTGCTTGTCTCTTCAATCTCTGGTTTATTCAGGCCAGAGCTTCCTGCCTCCCCAGCTGGGATGTGAGCTCCTTTCCGCAGTACCAGGTTTTCCTCAACTCCCCAGCTCCTGGCTCCATCGGGCCAAACTTACAATGGTATTCAATAAAATGCTGTTGGTTTGAATAATACCACAGAGCATCAATCTAGTCTGCACCTAGATATAGATTCACAAAGAAGAAAGCCAGGTGGCACACAGCGATTTTTGTCACATTCTCAAGAGCAACCTCTTACAAACGCACATCTCTACTCAAATGCATTTCTGAAAAAGAAACAGATAAAATTACGCCTAACAGTGAGGAAAGGAAAAAAATTAACATAAATCAAGCATTGCCCATCTGTCAGCACTGTCTTTGCTTTTTTCTGTCTTATTATTCCTCACCACTCAAGTGGATACGTGTAATTATTCCTCTTGAAGACGGTAATACTCAGAGATGATAAGTGACTCGCCTGATGTCACGCAGCCTAAACCCAGGCACCTGTCATTGTAATGCTCTTCCAACATGCCAGTTCATGTAAAAGGAATGGATACAGTAAGATGAGGGGGAAAAAAAGGCTTTTGGGAGGCCAGGGCGGGCGGATCACAAGGTCAGGAGATCAAGACCATCCTGGCTAATGTGGTGAAACCCCATCTCTATTAAAAACACAAAAAAATTAGCCAGGTGTGGTGGCGGGCGCCTGTAGTCCCAGCTACTCGGGAGGCTGAGGCAGGAGAATGGCGTGAACCCAGGAGGTGGAGCTTGCAGTGAGCCAAGATTGTGCCACTCACTCCAGCCTGGGAGACAGCGAGACTCCGTCTCAGAAAAAAAAAAAAAAAAAAAAAAAAAAGCTTTGCAGGAATTGACTTTTTCTACCCTTGTTTATGTCATTCCCAAACTACCATCTCTTTTACAAAAGGGCAGTTTCTGCCAATGGGAGGCGTAATGTGTAGCCGTTGCTGAGGCTAACAGAAATGTTTGTCATTCCATAGGCTGTTTACTGGGTTGGGCCTTATCGGGTTAGACTCCAACCCGGTTTAAAAGTGAGAGTCACAAAACAAATGCTGGTGAACAGTCTGTTACTCACTTGGCATTAAGTAAATTCCAGTAACATTATAAACAGCCCAGGGGCAGACAGCCCGGGGGAAAGGACATGGACCCAGGCAATGCCTGCCCCTGAGTCTGTATTTCTGAATTCTCATATAAACACTCCAAGCTCATGGGTTGTGCTGTGTCATAAACTAAATGGTCAAATCTAGCGTTGACACATGTCTGCCAACTCACCTGGGTTGAAAATCCACTCACAATGCCGTTCTTGCATTGTTCAGAACTTCAGTTTTCTGACTGGGCAGCTGTGATGACAGTAACAGGGTCTACCTCTGGGTGGCTGTGAGGATTTGGGATATGCATTAATGTACCTGTTCCACTGCCTGCCTTGGGGCAAACTCGGTGAATCTTCACTGCTGATGTCCATCCAGTGCCCAGTCTGAGCTAGGGTTTTTACACATGCTGCTTCCAAATTCTCATAGCAAAACCAAGGCTGAAATGTGATTCCAGAGGCTCAGGGAGAGAACACAGAGGCAAAGCTGGCAGGTAATCGCGCCTCTTCTGACTTCACGCCACTGCTCCTTCTCTTCCAGACAAGGTCTTCAGGCCTGGTGAGGGTTGGTGTCATTTGTGCGACAAAAGAGCCCAAATCAAGCTGAGTTGAAGCAATAAATACCCTATCCTGCTTCCAGATCAAAGTCCTTATTTAAAATGCATATGCCATGCGTAGTAGGGCAAAGCCCGCCACCTCCAATGCCTCCCCTGTTCCCCCAGCAGTGCTGTGAGAGAGGTGGCAGATGTGGCATGGTGGCCCACATACACATTTGCAAGCTTGAGTTCTGATGTCAGCTCTGCTCCTTATCTTCTGTATATCCTTAGGCAAATGTCTGCACCTCTGAGTTTCCACTGTTTCCTCCTGCCCTACAAAATGGGCAGGAGAAGAACTAAGCTTCTTTGTTCTGAAGATCCACAGGTGCAGAGCAGGGCAGAGTAGACACTCAGTAACGGTGGCCACTTATCTCCCAACTCATGCTAAGGAAGGAAAAGAAAAGCAGAGATGTTAAGTGCCTTACCCAAGGATATTGGCTTAGTGAGAGGTGGGACTAGGAACTAACCCCTGGAACTGTTCCATGATAGACAACTCCAATGTCCCCATCTCACCATCTGCCAATGCTCCCACCCCCATTACACCAACCTCTACCTTTAGGAAGTTGCCAGTCTCCTAAAGAGAATAGAAGCAGCTCAGTACAAGGGGAATCAAAGCACCTGCAAAAAAGGCACAAGCTAAGAGATGTGAGAGGTCTCAGGAGGGAATAATCCTAGTTTGGAGAAAGGTTCTAAGCTTCCAGGAGGAGGTGGTGCAAGTGTTGGCTCTTGAATGAGCAAGGTTGGAAGTGCAGGAATGCTGGCCTGGCATGTGGGAGCCTGCCAGGGGCTGGGCATTGGGATGGCCCTGGGATAGGCCTTCGAGAGGCTGGCAAGGCTGCACTGGGAACAAAATGTGTGCTTCTCTCTGGATTCTTCCACCTCCCACCCCCTTCCTGGGAAATGACCCAAACCCTCACCTTCTATCCTGTGCTGAGTCCTAGTGTCCTGAATTGGGAGAGAAACCAGTATCCACTGTGCAGTTCCTTGCTAGGGACACTACTAGGTCTCCAATATAGAAACAAAATTCTTCACAGTCAAGGTGAGATTGGCAAAGGGAGTTGCTTGAAGTCACAAGGATGGAAGGGAAAGAAGCCAGGATTCCAACTCCATTATCTCTGGTTCCCAAACCCAGCATCTTTCCATCAAAACACGCTACCTTGAAAGCCCAAGAAAGTGTTTGTATTTGGAGAAAAATAAAGCCTTGGGGCAGAATGGTAGCGCCTCCTTAAATAATGGCACAGTAGGATTATTAATTGCTCAGTAGCAAACGTCTATGGAGTGTTTATTATATGCCAGGTACTCTTCTAAGGGCTTTTGATATTTTAACTTAATTCCTCACGGCTGCTGCTGTGCCCTATAAGGGAGGCACTATTATTATAATCAGCTTCTATTTCACACCAGGAAATTGACACACAGAGTTTAAGTAGCTTGCCTAAGGGCATATGGTTAATAGGATTTAAAGATTAGATTTGAGTCCAGGCAGCTGGGATCCAGCTTACAGCTCTAACTAAAATAATGTGTAAGGTTGGTCAGGCTGTGCACTGCACAAGGGCGCCTGGCCACGGGGGCACAGAAAACCTGAAATCCAGCCGGGATTCTGCTCTCTGGGGCTGCTTGGAGGAAGAGGCACCACTGTGTAACTTACACACAAGAACTGCCAAGCCAAGCCAAGTCTCTTGGAAATGTCAGCTGCTGACTGCACCGTGGCATTTGCTGACAGCATGATTGATTTCTCTTTTTTTTCTCCTTTTTAGATCATGACCTTCCCAAAGCCATCTAGGAGTACAGAGAAAAAATGCACAGTGCATGAAAACTGTGAAATGGAGTCCCACCACCAGCTATGGTGGGGAAAAGCCTTTGAACGCCACCTGGCTCTGACATTCTTCCTTTAGGTGATGAAAATGAGCCCTGGAAGTCTTTGCAGGGGCCTCTGGGCAGGTACGCCAGGGTGTGCAGGTGCACACCACTGACCCAGCCGTCCCTCTTCTAGGAATCAGTCCTGATGCAACTCTCAGCAACCTGTGCCGAGATCTCTGTGGAAGCATTGTTTGCAAGCGCAGATAATCAGAAACCACCCAAAAAAATTATAAAGAAGACATTGGGCAAATCAACAATGGTATGCTGAGATTTGGATTGCCAAATTGACCTTGAAGTGAAGGAGGCAGATTTGCTTGTAATAACACTGAAAGTGATACAAGATCTACTTGAAGTGCAGAATATCATGTTCACCATGAGACACTGGTAAATAATGTTTTCATGTAAGTATATATATGTCATCATTAGGCTGAAGGCAGCAAAGAGCGTGGTTGAGTCCAAGTGTTATGGAATAAGACTGCTTGGGTGCAAACCTTGGCTCCTACACTAGCCAGGTGAGGATGGGGGTTACTGGACTAATTTTTTTTTTTTTTTTTTTGAGACAGGGTCTTGCTCTGTCATCCAGGCTGGAGTGAAGTGGCACAATCACGGGTCACAACAGCCTCAAACTGCTGGGGTCAAGCAGTCCTCCCACTTCAACCTCCTGAGCAGCTGGGACTACAGTCATGCCACCACCATGCCCAGTTAATTTTTAAATTTTTCGGTAGAGATGGTATCTCTCACTATGTCACCCAGGATGGTCTTGAACTCCTGGTCTCAAGTCATCCTCCCGCCTCAGCCTCCCAAAATGCCGGGATTACGAGCCTGAGCCACCATGCCTAGCCACGTTTGACTTCTTGCCTCTCAGGAGTAAGGGCTCGGAGGGAGCCTGATATCCTGGGTTTGAGTCCTGGTTTGCTATTTCCTTCCTACGTGATCTGGACCAAGTGACTCATTCCGAGTGTGTCTCAATTTCTCCACATGTAAGCTGGACGTGCAGATGGTACTTACCTTAGTGAGCGGTTGCATGCTGCCTTCTCAGGAGGTCTGGGGCACATGAGGCCCCAGGAGTGTTAGTTATGCTGAAGCCTGCAAGAAAATGCTGAAGAAATGCACACAGCCAACATTGGTTATCTCTGAGGAATGTTTACTGTTGGACTCACATATTTCATAGCATTTTTGAAAGTAGGAATAAGTGAGTCTTGCAATTAGGAAAAAAAAAAATCATGCACTGCAAAAGAATACCTTTGCAAAAGGCCCTCTTGGAGAGGTAACTATGTCCTTCTAGTACATTCCCTAGAATAAAGGGCCGGTGCACTCAAGCAGCCTGGAGGCCACCTCTCTGCGTCACCATCTCTACCCTACGGTGCACTGGGCTTTCCATTGTCACTGTTCTTACCCCTGGGGGCTGTCCCTTGATAGGTCAGCCTCTCCCACAGTCCTGGGAGCTGTCCAAGGACAGGGATTAGAGCTAATTGATCCTCTCTGCATCTCTGGGTCCAGGTGTAGTGGTTGGTACACAGTAGTAGGTGCCTAATGAAGGTCTGCTGAGTACTTGAGGGATTACTGAAGGAAGTTACTTCTGTAGCCTGACAATAAACACGCTCCCTTCTGACCCCTCAGGAATGCTCTTGGCACCCGTTCCCAAGTCAGGCCCTAAAAATGAACACTGTGTTAATGACACAACAAAACAAGACATTCCAGACTCAGCCTCGGGCGGCTGACTCTTGGGGCTGCCGTGCCTTTGGCCAGCAGCTGCAGAGGCTGTCCTCAGGGAGGGGACCTCCAGCCCTTCCAGTCCAGAGCCACAGCCTCCTGGGACAGGCAGCAGACCATGAAAATGAGGGGTGCAGCCGTGGCCACAGATTCACTTTGTATATTAACAGGAAGAGTTTTCCTTTCCATACATGCATCAGTGTGCCCTCCCCCGAAACAAACAAATAAACAAACAAGCAAAGATAAAAGAAAGAAAAGAGGAGGGACAGAGGGTGGGACATGAGAGGGAGGGAGGAATGGAGGCAGAGAAAGGAAGAGAAAGAAAGCAATAAAGAGAGAGAAAAAAAAGAAAGGAGAAGAAAAGAACAAGGGAGGGAGAGAGGGAGCAAGGAAGGAAGGAAGAAAGAAAGGGAGGAAGGGAGGGAGATGTACCTTTTGTAGACAGACCCTCTATCTGACTCCCCCTGACATTACTTTAGAGAGATTAAATATTGAGCATTATTCATCTTTCATTAAAAACACCAAGACAAGCTTGTGGGCCATATGATGTCTGCAACTTCAAAATTCCTGAAGCTCTTTTCCATTTTACAGATGAGTAAATGGAGAGGCTACAGTTTGCCTAAGGTCACTGGGAGTGAGTGAGTGTCCACCAGAGAGATTTCTGACTTCCCAGTCCAGACCCTTCCCTCTGCTCTGGCCTTTCGAGGCCAAGGGTGTGAATACCCCGGAGGCAGGATCTGTCATGGGAGAAGCTGGACCTACCTGCCTCCTTCAGATCCCCAGTCCCACCTCTTCCCAGGAACCCACTGTCATAGTGGGAGTCCACGTGGCCTTTTTAACAGATGCTGCCAAAAGCAGTGCTTCCAGCCCCAGGAGGGAGATCAGGGATGAGAGACTCAGGTTACTGCAGAGATAGTGGGGTCAGGGAAGACTGGGGCTTCTCTGAAATTATAGGTCAAGGGAAGGGATACTGATGCTGATGTCAGCATTGGAGCTAGACCAATGCGACTGGGAATTTCAGTTCTTTTTCTTCTCAGCGGGGTGAATTTTGACAAGTTATAGAACCAGTCTGGGCCTCAGTATACTAAGCTCTAAAATGGGCTAACACAGAAGGCTGTATGCAAAGTCAGTTTAATATAAATGAGGCCCTAGCCCCAAGTAGGTACTCCTTGGCACAAGAATTCTGGCTGGGCTGAACTTGGCTTTTGTAGGAGAAAATTGAGTTCTGTGGGTTTAGGAGGTGAGTCAGCATTTGGCTGTGGGTCAGTACAAGGAGAAGTTCTGCCCTTCATGTCAAGATAAAGGCCAGCTCAGGCCTTATATACTCAGCTCCCCAGATGTACAGGGCAGGGAGAGGGGTTTTTTGGGGAAGGCTTTAGGCTAGGGTTCTTTCTAAGAACATAGGCCCAGGAAACACGGCCTCTGGTCCTGCCTCTGCCTCAATTAGCTGTGTGACTTTGGAAAAGTCACCCAACCTCTCTGAAACCCAGTTTTCAGAACTGGGTTCTGCAGGGAAAATAGCAACTCGCAGGCTGCTTGTATAGAGCAACTGGGTGTGGACAATGCTAGTGCATAGGGAGCCCATAACAAATGTGACTCCCTCCATCGGCCCAGCTCCACCAAATATTAGCTGAGGGGAAGCCCCTTCCAGGGCCTCACTTTCTCCCTGCCTGGATTCCTGTTTGTGTCCAAGTAATGTTTCCAAATGGTAGTTTTTCATGTACCACAGTTATGATTTTTGCCATAATCCAAGTACACTTTTTAAAACTCATTCTTCTATATTTTTGAAAATTTAATGGATCCCTTTGTATAAATTGAAATATAAAAATTAAAGGAAAACCAGTGTATAGCTGTTCTAAGTGGAGAAGCAGTTTGGCTGGCCTGGGTAAAAATAAACACAATCAAAAGCAAGCAAGATATTAACTTCCAGCTAGATCCAGCTGCCTGGGGAGGTGCCCAGCCCAGAGGCTATTCTTTCCAGATTAAAAGGAGAGTAGAGGAAGTGTTAGCATCTGCCCTGGTGGGAAACTGAGGCCTGCTCCTCGATGTAACCAGAAGGATCAAAGGAACTGGGAAGAAATTTTGTCTGCTGTGGTTTGATTTTATTTAACACCTTATGCATGTGCCTCAAAAATGATGTTGGTGAACCCCATCTGCATCCCTCTAAGGCTGCTCTCTGGGATAGGCAGGCCTTGGTGGTCTTGTTGGTCATTTCCTCTGTAAAAGGTGAGTGGGTCTGGAAGGTACTCCTATGGGGTGGGGGAAAGGGGAAGGCAGAGTGAAATGGACGACATAACGGATGTGTGGTTGGTAAGGTGGGGTACGGACCACCTAGAATTCAGCCCGTTCTTTAGTACGTCCCAGCTGACAAAGAGTTTCCTCTCAGCAGAAGCCCGTGGGCCAAGCACAGCCTGATCCCCATCACGTCTGTTCTGGGCGGCCATGATGCTTGGCTGAGGGCAGCAGGAAGTGAGTGGGCGTCAGGCGGAAGTCTTTCTGAAGGGCTGTAGGGTGGTGTAAATGACAGCCATAACTCACAGTAACAAGATCGGGACAGAAATACTGAGATGCTAGTCACATGAAGCGTGTGCTCAGGGAGGAGAAGACGACTGGGACCCTAACAGAGAAAATAACCACAACTAATGATCCAGACAATGGCTTCACTGGTGGCATAGGCATGGTCTAGGAAATAAAACTGGGAGATCCACCAAATCTGTTTTTTCCCATCCTAAAGCTTGCAAGAAGCCTCCCACACAAAGTTTAAGTAACTTTTATTTTGTCACAGATGTATTTTGATGTTAAAATTGCTGCCCTTTATTGGGTCCTGACCGTTGTATGAGCTCATCTTGTTTGCTCTTCACGGCAGCCTGTGATTCGATTATGATTATTCTTACCTTATGTCTGAAGAAAGCAAGAAAGACCCCAGGAGGTGATGTGACCAGCCAGGATCACAGTCTCTAAGAGCCAGGGCTGGGATTCAAACCTCCAGGCCAAGTGTGGTGGTTCACCCCTATAATCCCAACACTTTGGGAAGCTGAGGTGGGAGAATTGCTTAAGCCCAGGAGGTCGAGACCAGCCTGGGCAGCATGGAGAAACCCTGTCTCTACATAAAATAGAAAAATTAGCTGGATTCACTGGTGCACGCCTGTAGTCTCAGCTACTTGAGAGCCTAAGTTGAGAGGATCACTTGACTCCTGGAGGTTAGTGCTGTAGCCTGGACAACAGAGCAAGACCCTGTCTCAAGAAAAAAAAAAAAAAAAAAGCTAACACAAATCTCCAAATCTCTGACTCCATGGTAACCTGCCACAGGATGGGAATGGAACAGGGGACTCCCATACCTGAAGGGACAAGTGTGACATGGACTTGCTTTGGTAACTTAGAGAGATAAAACTGAGAAATAAGGGTAGACGTTGCTAAAAATTGAACAGAGCATCTGGGTGTTGGAATGGACTCCCTGGGAGGCACGGGAGATACCCCTACAGGGACTGGATCACCCCCACCATGGATGTCAGGCCCAGTGCCTGGCCTGGGGGACATATATTGGATGCTCAGCATCAGTACCCATGAATGCGCCTCCATGGGACACTTTCCACACATTACTTCCCCGTCTGCCGGTGAGCTGTGCCTCCTGATTCAGATTTTACAGACTTCTTAGCAGGAGCCCAGAGACA